GGTGTTCCTGTTGCTTGTTCCCGTTGAGTTCTCGTGAGATTCAAATGGGATTTTGGAAAAAGCCTCGTGGAGTAGGTGAAGTGTGCGGCAGAACGAGACTGCCCCTGAACGTGTGTGGAGGCTGGTGTGAGATCCGGAATAAAGAATTGCTGTTTGAACCTACAAAGCTGTGTGGTGCCTCCTGATTCTGGTGCCCCCCCAAGACATCGGCACATCCACAGTTCACCTCCCACCAGGACAGCCCTGCCACCTGCCCTGGGCCCCACGCCCTGCAGTCTCTGTCCATCTTGTCTGTCTGCACTTGGTGCACTCTTCAGCCAACCATGCCCAGTTACTTCTAGAAGCCTGCTCGAGTCCTGACTGGCCGTCTAGTGCTGGTCCTCCAGGGAGGGGACACTGTCCCTCAGCATGGTTGTGACCCCTAGAGTGGTGGGGTGGCTTGACACCCACCCAATGTGCTCCCAGTGGTAGTGGACGATGCCGTGGTTGTCACTGCTCCCGCTCCCATCCAGGGTGGCACTTTGCACTGGGAAGACCAGCTCCTCGTCGGGGCCGGCCACGGCCAAGGGAGGCCTGTTGTTTCCTAGAAGTGCAGAAACCGTGTGAAAAGGTCCCATCTCTGCTGGAAGGCTGCCATCCTCTGACTTATTGTTCTAAACATTTATCTGATACATAAAAACATAAAAGTGGTACTTGATAACAGGTACCATAGAACGTTCCATGCATGTGTGCGCTGCCTAATGTTTACATCAGACAAATCTCCTCATTTATCAATTTTTTGTGGTGAAAGCCTCTGCAGATATTGCCCCCACTGGTGCCTGTCCTTGGGCTCCTGTAGGCCCTGTTGTCCCCTGCTAAGTCCCAATCATGTTGTACCGCGGTTTAGAGATATAATCAAGACAAGATTCTGAACCTTGAAAGAAAACCGGTTCTCCGAGCAGCGTCAGCTCCCAGCCTGGACCTGACGGCAGCGAGGTGTAGASACTTTCCTGCCCAATTGGTCACAACCTAAGCCCAGGAGCCTAGTTACTGTTCCTGCTTTCATCCCTGGGGCCAGATCTCATTTCCATGTCACCTACCAGGCTGGACAATCACAGCGACCACAGCAGTGGACTGCTGACCGGCGGAGTCTGTCACCACCAGCCGGAAGGCGTACTCTCCTTCCTGCAGAGCGGATAGATGAAGGTACGGGGTCTGTGCTCCCTAAGCAGCAGCAAATGCAAAAACAAAAACAAAGAGAAATAGTAAAGAAGCACTAGTAATAGTGTGACATATGCAAACTCATGATTTTACCTAATACAGAAAATATGAAAGGTATATGAACCCAGGAAAATGGAATGTGTAGCCCACTGGGTATCCTCAGAGCATTGAAGGAATTAGGTGAATATAGCCAAGAGGCAACGTCCATCAGGATGCACAGCGGGGACATTCTTCCCCAGCAATTCTCAGCATCTACACCAGAGAAATGCACAGGAGGCTCACCCCAGGGGCTGACCAAGCACGGTGCAACAGCAACACAAGGGAAGCAAACCACTGCCCACCAATGGGGGAGTGGCCAAGGCCACTGCAATGCACCAGGGAATGCAAGCTTAGAAGAGAGATCCTCAGGGCTGGGCTGTGGCTCAGTGGTAGAGCAAGTGCTTAGCATGTTCCAGGCCCTGGGTTCCATACCCACCAGACAAACAGAAGAAATTTAAAAGAATGAGGTAGCTTTAAATTTTTAAAACGAAAAATGTAAAGACAAACAAACAAAAAGACATTGTATACACTGTGATAGTTATCGCTACACAAACACACACATACAAACACTTAGAGAAGATTCTGGAAGTGCACTCACTAAACTTATCAAAGAAATTGCCTCTAATAGGAGACCTGGAAGAGAGTGGTAGTCAATATACATTTTCACCTTATCAGAGTTTATTTGAACTGATTTTTAAATTTTTTTCCTGTAAGAAGCAATTCATATATTACTTTTGCAATCAAAAATAAATCTGGGGGCTGGGGTTGTGGCTCAGCAGTACAGCGCTCGTCTAGTGCATGTGAGGCCCTGAGTTTGATCCTCAGCACCACATAAAAAATAAATATATAAAATAAATATATAAAATAAATATTAAAAAATAAATTTTAACATTAAGGCAAAAAACATAAACAAACAAAAGCAACACCGTTTTTCAAAAGGCATGCTCTCAGCCACACTCGGTGCCTGCAGGTGAAAGTCCTTTTGTGGTACAGCAGGTGCTTAGCATGTGCATGCTGCTGTGTTGTCGCTGGTAATAGTTTCAGTTATTCTTACGTTTGCAGTTCATGGCATCGGGAAAGAATTTTAAATTTAATCCTATTTCAATTTATTTAATTTTAAATATCCCAGAATTGCCAAATTTTAATGTGTCTATATTTCTTGAGGTTTTAGTGGAAAATTGATAGAGAAAGTTGATACAGTATCAATTGTGTTATCACAAGGAATGATATTCTGAAATTTGAAATGCATAAATACTTAAGAATTTTAAAAGAAATACTTTCCTCTATTTTCCCCCTCTGGTGCTAGGGATCAACCCACGCAGGGCCTTGTGGACGCCAAGTCCATGCCCTGCCTCTGGGCTCCCCCACAGACCATGTGGCAATAACATGTTCCTGTGGACAGTCTCTGGGCAGGGAGAGAGGGGTGTGCAGCCACTGCACTGCTATGGAGAGCCAGACTCACTCGGGGACCCAGCCCCGGTAACTTCCCTCCACTACACGTCCAGGGTGGGGCGTGGATTCTGAGGGATTAGCTCTGGGCACATAAGGCTCAATAATTATGTTAAAGAAAATTTGGAAGAATCTCTTAACCAAGGAAATATAAAATAGCAAAATAGCCCATCCTTTCTTTTCTTTTCTTGGCCAGTACTGGAAACTGAACCCGAATTAACCTCAAGATCTAGTCATCAACACAGGAAAGGCTGCGAACTCGGAAGGGTTGGGAGCTTAGGTGCTCCTCTGTCAGTGCAGTGGTCTAACAGACACATGTATGAAAGCAGACTTTCTGGATCTAACTGCCCCTTCCCCAAACTAAGACTCAGTTGGTAGAAATAAAATATGGAAGGAAGGATGGATGGATGGGGGAGTAAGGTAGATAGATAGATGGATAGATAGATGATAGTGACAAGAGACACAGACAGATGCTGTAGTTGATAAGGGTGGACGATGTAGATGATAGAAATGGACAATAGAGATAGATGCAGAGAACAATAGAGATGGGCGATACGGACAGACAACCGAGAGTCAGGAGCAGGTGGAGAAAGTGCCTGCATGGCCACCTCTTTGCTCCCACTGCTGGGGTCCAGGGACCACTCATAGAGGACGATCTGGTGATCATCACTGCTCTGGTTTCCGTTCAAAGTGATGGAGTTCTGGGGCAAGGTCATGGTCTGATTTGGGCCTGCGTTGGCCACAGGTGGGTGGTCCACAGCACTGCTGACGATCAGGGTGGCAGTGGTGGAGTTGGTGGCTCCATCAGAGTCAGTGACGGTCAACCTGCAGAAAGGAGAGGAGGCTGTGACTCTGCAGAGCCTGCACACCTGGACGTGAGTGGCCAGCTCAGCTGCTCCTGGTCACAGTCTCCAGAACGGCTCAGAATAGGCAAACAGAAATGGAGGATGAAGTTTAAAGAAGCACACAGACTCAGGGATGTTTTTCCTGCTTTTGTTCCTGTTGACCCATCTTTGTTTCTCTTCTCATGTTAGTTGATGGGCTTCCCTTGCCTCTGGGATGCTGAGTGGAGAGGACCCTCGGCCAGAGCAGCTGCTCTCCACAGCTGAGACTGAGAAGGACGGCGTCCGAGGCAAGTTCTGCCTTCAGTCTGGAGCACTGGGTTTTCAGCTAGGAAGCTCCTATAGTTTTTCAGCCCTTTTCCAGAGGCTTATGATAATGGTTTTCAGGACACTCTGCGAGGTAAGGTTGGGACTCAACACTTTACAAAGTGATGTTCAGTCCACCAAGAGAAACCAGCATGGACCCTCCTGTACTAACTGATGGAATTAGTTAGAAAGTGGAGAATGGGACATCCCAAAAGGCCACTCCATCCTCCCGGGGGACGACGGTGGATGGGCAGTGGTAAGGGCTAGGTGGGTGAGCTGGAATGTGGGGATCAAGACCAAGAAGCAGCTTCAGGGAGGTGTGCTCGGCCTGCGCCTCCTGGGCCTCCTCTCCCGCGGCCCACCCGCTCTCTCCAACCAAGGTCCAAACTCCCATTTCATCATGCATGAATTCCATACTAATAAGTAATTAAGGTGATAGAGAAATATTTTAACAATAACTTTTTGAAGTTCCTTAGGCTTTTGTATCAGAAACTTTCCACAAGTCCACATGAGAAAATCCTCTAATAAAAAAGTGGTTGATGATTTATCTCTAATGTTTCAAACACCTGTCAACACACACAACTCTGACCCAGAAGTTTCACTCAAACCCTGAAATGTAGCCGTAAAGATGTTCACTGAACAGGGAATGGCGAGGCTGACTTCATAACGACTACTATGTTGTAGCACCACAGCAGCCAACATGCAGAGAAAGCCCAAACCAGACCCCCCACAAGGTCATCTGCTGGAGGAAAGACGTGCCCTGCAGACTGGGAAGGGACAGAGGGACAATGAGTGGAACCAAAGCCCAGGTGGGGAGAACCACGATTGAGAGACAACCCATTCCAGATGGATAAAAATTTGAACATGAAGGATTCAAAATTTTAAACTGTTAGAAGAAAATATAGAAGGTAGGTTGCAAAACACCCCATATGTTTTATCCATGTAAGAGAAAAACATTTTTGTTTGTGAATAGAAAGGGGCTGTGAGGGGCTGGGGCTGGGGCTCAGTGGCAGAGCGCTTGCCTAGCATGAGTGAGGCACTGGGTTCCATCCTCAGCACCACGTTAAAAAATAAACAAATGTCCATCTACAACTACAAAAAAATTTTTTTAAGGGGCTGGGGATGTGGCTCAAGCGGTAGCGCGCTCGCCTGGCATGCGTGCGGCCCGGGTTCGATCCTCAGCACCACATACCAACAAAGATGTTGTGTCCGCCGAGAACTAAAAAATAA